AAGCTGCCTGGAGGGGGTGTGATGCCAACATGGATGTTATCCTTCGCCTTCCTCACTGGCCTTTTTGGGAACATGTTCCTATCAGGAAAGGGAGTCTCTCACCCCAGGAAAGATCTCAGCTTTTAAAAATTTAGTGCAATGCTTTTTATATCAGACTGTTATATTTAAAGTATTCAAAGGCCTAGATTTACATCATCTTGGTTAAATTACTCATCACCAATCTCTCATCTACAACCTTTTTTTTTTCATTTTATACAGGCTCAGTTTACATAGAGAGCTTTATTTTTAGTTTTTCTCCAGCCAAGTTGGTGCTCATTTATGCTGTGGGTGTCTTAACTATGTACCCACCTGCCTGGATTAACAACAGGCGAACATCTCCACTGTCTCTTCTGCTGGTCCACGCAGTCAGCTGAGAACCGTGGGTGCCTGGGTGGGCATGTTTCTCCCACGAGAAAGCAAAACTCAACAGGCCAGCAATGCATCTCGACCGACAGCCAGCATAGGACCGGAAGGGAGGGAGGAGGCTGACCCATTGCAAGGGTAGGTTCTTCAGAGCAACACGACTTTATAAGAAACTGTCAGTGAAGTCCACCGTTTAGTGAGCACTTGATATGTACCAGGCATGTGCCTATTGTATGTACCTTCCAAATAATCTGTGGTGCAGGTATGAGACTTACTCCTCGGCTGAGGAAACTATGGTCTTGAGAAACTGTGACTTGGCAAATGTCCCAGAACTGTTAACCAGCATCTAGACCTGTCTGACAAGACACCTCTACAGCTATATGTACATGTCTATTTATATGCCCCCTCATTCTAAACAGACTTTGAGGCAGTTCAGAGGAAGCTGCGTGGTGTAGCAAAGCAACACACACAACAATCGTGAGGAGGGTATGTTAAGGGCACTCAGAAGGCACCAGGATGCCTTATAACACGTGGGCCTTGGACTGGGCTCCGAGCTTCCTAGTAGCCAAGGCAAAGAAAGTCCAATCTTTTCCCCAATTGTTGGTGTTGATAAAATAAACACAGATCAAACACAGACCAAAGACCCAAGGAAGCACAATTCTTCCTAAGTTCAAGTGCAGAAACAAACACCTCCCACGTGACTGCTTAGGGAGGCCTGAGCATAACGACAGAACAATTGCAGCATGTCAGCAACCCCAGCACAGCACAGCCAGGGTGGCCCTGCCAGGGGCACAGGGCTGTGGGTCGGCCCAGCCTCCCACTCAGCTAAGGTCTGGCAACTGTCTTAGACTGGCTTCCCGAGCGGCAGGCAGATTTAATGGTAACGAAGAAGACAGTATCGGGAAGAGGGAGAAACTGACCCAGACTGTGTTTGTACCTGAGGCTTCAGTGGTCTACAGGGATCTCAGGAGCCGAGATGGCCCCTCAGAGCTGTCCCAAATGGAGGCTAAGACACCTGGTCTCAGTACTCCCTACCCCCTCATCAGCCAGACATTAGCCACAGGCCAACCTCTGGGAGGGGACTTAACTTGAGTGAGGCAGTTCTCCTCTGCTGAGGGCAGTTCCCAGGGTGGGATGCAGTTGTGAGATAGCATCTGGGGGGTGGATATGCCGGCCCTAAATCGGAGTCTGGGCAGAAACCACAGCAGCCATTAGGAAGAGGCTTTGGACACAGCGCGTGTGTGTGAGTGCCCCAGAAACCCCTGGGGAACCTCCCAGACATGGAGCTTTTGTGGGCCTGTGGCGTCCTCCAAGGACACAGTCCTTGCACCTGATTGGGCGCAACAGGCCCTGGGACCAACCTAGGTGCCCCTGGAACATAGCATTGCCTGCACTCGGACAGGCCAGGTGTGCAGAGCCCGAAGCCCCAAAGTTCTGCTCTTTTGAGCACGGGCCGTAATAACTTCAGCCCAGAGACTTAAACACCCACCTAAGGCACACCTGCCTACACACACACAGAAGGAAAGGTCCATCAAGCGCCTGGCTTTAGCAATATTATTGCTTCCTGGTGAACCTGCCAAGATAAACTGTTTGCTAAGCACACACGGAGGAGGCAGAATGAGGGACAAGCTAGGTGGTGCCCTTCAGAGGAGACCGACCAGGAGTAGGAGACGACAATGGGTTTAGACTTACACTTTGCAGTTTGTCCGTGACAAGCTGGATGAGGTCAGGAGGGACTGGGGCAAACCCTGCTGTAGCGGTTGCAGTGACTGGAGGGAAGAGGGGACTGGAGTGTAGGCCTGGGACAGCTCAGGGTCTGAGGCCCCAGGGAGGGGGAAAGGAAGGGGAAGGGGAGGGGCTAGCAGGAGACAGGGGCAGAAGCACGGAGCAGAGGCAGGGGCCGGCTCTGAGCTGTGCCCCAGGGGAGTTTTTGCTCACAGCAGGGTACCCTCCCTGACCTGAGCCCAGCAGGAAGCAACTGGCACCTGCCTGATCACCGGGCACTGCTGCCACAGCAACCTTGTTACTTTTCTCAGTAGGGGGCTGGTCTGGGAGCCACAGGCAGGGCAGAGGCCCCAGCTCCATTCAGAACCCACTTGGTTCTGCCTGCCTTGCCCAGCTGCCTTTGCTGCGCAGATGTTGTCAGTTTGAATCTCATGCAATGAACTCTTTAAATAGCCACCCTAATGGCTAATCAATCATTTCAGAGCTTTAACACTAAATCAGGCTGTTGGACACATGTTGGGGCAAAGCTGTTGTATCTGAGCCAAAAGTTCCCCTTTCTCTCTTTGCAAAGCGGAGTATGTCACATTAATTATCTAATGGCCTAAGACAGATCTTTGTGACCTAAAAAAAAAAAAAAAAGAAAGAAAGAAGAAGAAAAAGCTGAAGAGGTAGACTCTCCAAGAGTCTACATGCTACGTATGTAATTTACAGATCTTTCAAGTTAGGCTCTACATTTGGAGAGAATAAGCAGGTGTGTCTAACCTCTCGGCGTCTCTGGGCCACACTGGAAGAAGAGTTGTCTTGGCCACATATTAAATACATTGCGACACGTAAGCACAAAACAATCTCATCATGTTTTCAGTAAATTCACGATTTTGTGTCGGCCGGCATTCGTAGCCGTCCTGGGCCATATGAGGCCCACGGGCCATGGGTCGGACACCCCTCAAAAAGGACAGTAAAACAGGACTTCATGCTGATGTTTAAAATAAATGCTGTGAATACTTTTTAAAGTCAAGATTAAAATAACATAAACACAGTATCTGTGGTTACACTTTTCAGGTTACCTAAATTTAAGAGGCCCCAGCAAGGAGAAAATTTAAGAGGCAAGATAGTTTCTCCATAGGCAGGTTTCCCAGAAACCCCCAAGAGGCCCACCTCGGAACCTCCCACCGAGGAGGACAAACCACCTGCACACCTACAGAGGGGGCCAAAACTACAGCCTGCACCCCAGCATTGCCGACCTGGCCGAATCCCTCTCAGTCGCTCACAGGTTAACCCAGCTGTAAGCCCAGCCGCGAAGGCAGTCCTCCCCGCTGCCCAACCCCGAAAACGTTCATCTCACGGTCCCCCGACTCCAACTCTCTTGCTCACCTCTTCGCTGGCTCCTTAGGCTTCTCTCTGGACGTTTTCTCAAATTCTGGAATGTCGGCGACTCCTGGAGCTTCTTCCCGGCCTTCTTTGGGTCCCACCCTGCACTCTCCCTGTGGGATCTTGTCCACGTGTGCTGGCCCCGCCCACTTTTCTATTTTGGCTTGATTCCCTTCCTAACTGTGCACTTCCATGCCCCGTGCTCTCACGGACAGGTCCACCTCCGTTGCTACCTGCCCAACTCTGACTTACCCCAGACGCCCGAATCCCTATCACAGCCCCTCCATCTCATTTCCTATTGAGGCCTCCCCATCCACCCAAGTACCCAGGCCCACTCTCCCTTAACCTCCGTGTTTTACCACAGTCATCCTCTCCTGCATCCCTGCCACCACGTCCCTAGGTAACCAAGGCAACCTCTGACCTGGCCCTGCTGCCTCCGAGCCCTTCCCATTCTGCAGTCCGTGTGACATTCATGGGGCACAAATCAGACGTCACTGCCGCCAGCCTCCCTCAGCTCCTCTCTGTGCACCCGGCCCAAGAGCCGGTGCTCTTGCCATTTCTTCTGTTCCCACTTGGACCCCAATCAGGAAACAAATGCCAGCTCCCAGGCCCAGGGATGGTCACCAAGAAACCTCACTGCATCTCCCAAGTCCCCTCCTCTGCGCACCAGTGGGTGGGCTGAGGGGAGAGAGGCGGGCTGGGCCTGCACCGCAGGGAGGCCGCTCAAACCTGAGCGGACTTGGAGCCTTGATTTGCTAAAGAGAAGCCCCAGCTGTTCCTTATCTTCCCAAAGCACTCGTAAAGATTTTCTCCAAGTTCTTAACGAATGAAGAGGGGAGCAAGGATTTTACCATCCAGGCTGTGTTCTCAAAATACTACTCCAACCTTCCCCCATTACTTTCTCAGCCTCTCAAAAGCAGTTAACTTAGTGAGTACCCTTTTAAATGTCCTCGTGGTAGGGATGTCACAGCTACTTGTTTATCTTCCAGCTGAGAGGCCTTCGCAGGTCACCTGAGCCCACGCACGGCAGAGCCCTAGCAGTCGGGGACCTCCAGTGGCCAGAGGCGGGGAAGGCCAGCAAGGCGGGTTTGTCTCTGGGCTGCGGTCCAGCGCACTCCTCAGAGTCTGCCTGGCAACAACATGCCAGACCGGGCCCCCCTCTCAGGTGGAAGTCATGGACAGGGTGGAGCAGCCCGGTGTGGGGGGGAGTTCCTCAGCTGGGAGACAGAGGGATCTCCCCATTGTGCAGGACAGGGAACTGGGGCTCAGGGAGGTGAGAACATTTGCCCCAGTTTCACACTTGGTTCAGAGATTCTGACCCGGGGCCCTGCCTGCACAGTGCTGCCCCATGGAAAGTCACTTGGTGTCCTTGAATCTAAAAACAGGAATTTAACACACGTTTGGAGGAATAGAGGGGATTACAATGAGCTGTTTCCAATGAAGGAATAAATCCTTTTTTGGATTCATTATAATACAGAGCCATACATATTTTGATGACTAGTCCGGATTTCTATGAGTCCACCTACCTTTGTATAGTTTGACCTTCAAACAGGGAAAACCTCAATGATTTTCCATGGTTTTGAATAAGCTGAAATGAGTGTATTTCTCTTAACAATTATAGAGGAAAAAACAGCCTGTCACCAGCAGTAACTTCACCTGGAAGATGGGGTTCACAAAACTACGCCCCGTGATGGGGCTCTCGCAGCTGTTGGTCTTCCAGCTGCGAGGCCTGCACTGCCCAAGGTCTGCCTGCAAGGAGAGGGGCACTGCATCCTGGGTTCAGAAGCAGAGTGGGGATGGTACCCTCACCTCCAGCCATCAGAGTTGCTGAAACTGTGAAGGCCAGTGCAGGAGCCCGGGGCCCACAGTGAGCTGATGGATGGGTCGGTGGGAGCTCCACCCCCACCCTTGCGGGCGCCACCTGAGCTCAGGCCCAGCGGGCCCACTTGTGGTCGGGAGCAGGCCTGGCACACGGGCAGGGCCCTGGGGGGACCTGGAGGGAAGCGTGGGGGGGGGGCGTTGGGGAGGCGTGACGTGGAACAAGCTTCTGCAGTGTGAGTTGGGGCAAACCACTTCAGCTCTCCAAGGCTGTTTTTCTTTTCCTATAAAACCAGAAAGACAATAGTTCCTTGTAGGATTACTAGGAGGTTAAGATACTGAAGGTTGTGAGTATATAGTCGGTGCTCAATAAATATGGTTTCATTCCCTCTTCAAGAGCTGAAATTTTTCAAAGCACAACTTCCTGACATATACCATACATGGCCCTGACTTTAAAAAAAAATATTTTACTTACTTATTTTAGACAAAGGGGGAGGGAGGGAGAAAGAGAGGAAGAGAACATCGATGTGAGATTGCCTTTCACATGCCCCCAACCAGGGGCTCGCCCACAACCCAGGCACGTGCCCTGACTAGGAACTGAAAGAGGGACCCCTTGGTTCCCAGGCTGGCACTCAGTCCACTGAGCTGCACCAGCCGCGCGGCCCTGCCTTCTTCAGCAACAGGGAATATTATCTCACCGTGTCTTCATACCCGGGGGCTCCTACTGACAATGTGGCAATCACAGAATATCAGTCTGGACTGGGCATTGGGAGTGGGCACTGGGAGTGTGCCTGGGCCGATTTCCGACCACGATGCTCTCACATTCAAGATTTGCAGAGACACTCACCTTGCGCTTTTCCTCTTGGGTTTGTCTTTTGTGTAAATGGATCCAAGTTACAATGTTTGTCAGAAACGTGTGCTCAGTGAAGGCAGGTGGGCTCTGAGTGAGGGCCTCAGGGTCCCTCTGTGCCAGTGTGGGAGGCGCTGCCGCACTCATTTTGACTGTTCAGGGGTGCTTGCTGCTGCTTTTTGGATTCCAGCTATGTCTTAGGTGGTAGATGAGGCTGGACATCTGTTGAGTTTTCTGACCTTAACACTTGTGCACGTCTGGTGTTTGGTGGTTTGATCGCCTGCAGGACTTGGCAGTGTTCGTAGGGTGCTGGGCTGCGGGCCCTCTGAGTGCTAGGTGGTCACTCCTCTCAAAGCTGAACTGGGAGGTTGGGATCCTCTTCAGAGCCTTGGAAACACTTGATCCTAACAGCCCTCAGGGGACAGGCAGGACTTGTCTGGATGCCCCACTTCTCACGCAGGGTCAGGGAGGCCTGTTCAAATGGGTGACTAGGCTCAGCTTCCTCCCCTGTGGGTGAAAGACCTGTGTCAAGGTGGGAGAGGGAGCTGGTGGGTCCTCCAGCATCCAGGGCAGGACAGGAAGCACAGTAGTCTGACCACACAGATCACTCTGAGCCAGGCGCTGTGACAGAACCGTGTGCACTTTACCCTCAGGTAAAGTGCCCTGGTGTTACTAAGAAACTGTTCCAATCCTACTTCAGAGATGATTAAAACTGAGGCCCAGGGAGAAAACCTCACTTAACCAGGCATTACCCCTCACCAGGCATTAGACCTGCTGCCGCTCTGTTCTCACTGCAGACATAACTGCCTCCAACGCAGACTCAGCTCGGGTCAGACTGGACGAACCCACACGGCCCTACCTTGGCTACAGTGACATGTGATGTCTTGTTTGCAAATACGTCCATCCTTCTGGGGGCTCAATGTCAGGCTCACGGCCCTCTGCTCTCACTGCACCCCACTCCCGGCATCCCCAACCTCGGGAGCCTCGCTGAGACCCTGCCCACCTGGGCCCAGAGCTCCATCTCTCAGGAAAGGCATTCTCTGCAGGGGCCAAAACGAGCCTGCTACAGAGTGTTCTAACAAAACAGTGAATGAAACACAAGGGATCTTCAGAGCAAGCAGCACAGGAATCCGCACTGAGAGGCTGAGGATAAAAGGCAACTGCAGACCTGCTGGGAAAGTGTAGCGCCTGCTCCAGTCCCGCCCTGAAGCATGCTGGGAGGACAGGTCAGCATTCTCACTGCCGGCCAGCACCCCCCACCCTCCCTCTCCGAGCCCCTCCAGGGCCCACCTACCACCCTCAGGGTCCTCGTGACACCTGCCACTGCCCACTCCATCAGAAGGGGTACAGGGGTCCTTCTAAAAAGAATTCCAACATCACAACTGCACTTATTCATGCAGTGCTTCCGACCTGCCCACTGTGCCTGGGCAGGGCCACCCAGGAACGGGCCATCGAAAACACTGCAGGTTTCACTGTTGTCATCGAGAGCTCCAAAAGGGCTCCCACTAAGGTGTGATGGTATTTGCCATTTTATGGACATTTTCCCCGTGTTAGTTTGTGAGCTATTATCACCCAGCGCTACTGGTGGCAGGCAGACACCCAGGACGCTGAGACTGTGTCCTTCCTCTCCTGAGTTCTCCGGCCAGGGGAGACAGAGCACAGCTGAGTTCCTTTTTTGTGCAAAATGTGCCGGGTGCCGTGGGGCAGACCTTAGAAACAGAACGCCCCAGCACATTGGGCGCCCAGGTCCTGGTTTGCGGCCTTGGCTTGCTCACTGCCGGAAGTGACTCATTCGGCAATAATCTGATGGAACCAGGGCCACCCCGGTTTCACCCGGATCTTAGTGGGTGTGTCCGTCATAGTTGCCCAGGCTTTGCCTCTTACAAAAAAAATTTCAAAATCTGCCCTGGCTGTTGTAGCTCAGTGGATTGAGCGCGGGCCTGCAAACCAGACAATCGGGGTTCGATTCCCAGTCAGGGCACATGCCTGGGTTGCAGGCTGGTTCCCTGCAGGCCAATTCCCAGCAGAGGACTCATGAAAGGCAACCACACATTGATGTTTCTCTCCCTCTCTCCTTCCCTTCCCCTCTAAAGATAAATAAATGAAAAATTTTTAAAAATTCAAAATCTATCTTTTCCTTTCTAAATATTTTAAAAGCCTCTCCCCCATTTCTCCAGAAGATTCCTCTGCCTCCCTTACTTTTGTAAAATAACAAATAATTAAATACTCATGAACTGATATACTTTGTCCATTTCAGTACCTGAACCTATGTACTTAGGTTTCCCTTTTTACCTTGGACTACAGGAAGCTCAGAGCTAAATTTAGAGTTCGGTCACAGAAGTAAGGTTAACCTTATTGTATTTAGGAAATTTGTATTCTTTTCTCACTAGGTTCTAATTTCCCATTTCTATTTTAATAATCTCACCGTCATATCTTTTGTTATAAACATTCACAAATATTTTTGTAAAAGGGGGAGAATAAATGAAGTCAGTTTTAAAAAGGAATGCTCTCAAAGTATTCTTTCAAGAGAGATTATTGATCATTTAAATTGTCCTTGTCCAAGGAAGATGGCTTTCTTTAATTTACACCAACGAGCAGAGTTCTCCGCACTTCTCTGATACTGCCCCAGACATGAATTCAGTAAATTGATGGGAACAGTTCTCATCACTGATGTTTTATTTTCCCTTAAATGCCCTTAGCAACCTATATGTGAATCAATGCATCTTTCCAAGCTACATTTATGGCCAAACTATAATTATCATGTGCCTGAATCTATACTTCAAATGTCCACTTTAATCTTTCTTGATCCATGTCTGGCCCCAAACCCCGATCTCCCTGAGAATTAATCTGAAGACCACATTAACGAACAAATAGCCTAGAACACCCATCTGATTTTAAAAGCTTCCCTCTGGCTAGCATTAAACCCTCAGCCTCCTCCCTCACGCCCCCCCCCAACCATCTCATGCCCTGATGCTCTGCTGTGAGTGCCTTTCACTTCGACCAGCTGACTGTGTTCGGCAAATGTTTGTAAATGTCCATGTGGCCGTGTTTCCTCCATGCCTCGGTTAGCTTCTGCCCCCGAAACTGTGTTTTCTGAGTCTTTTGTGTCTTCTAATGGTGCCTGGAACATTTTGCACATGATAAGGAGCTCAAATAAAATGAACAATAAGCATCCCCAACCAGCCAGAGCTTTTTACGAGGCTCTCAATGAAAACACTGAGCCGCATCAACATCTGAAGATGCCAGCGGCAGGTGCCCAGCTATGCCAAGCCTGATGAATGGGCACGGAGTTATTTGGGGCTGGTGAGCATCTCTCAGCCGAGCCTGCTGCTACTGTGGCGACAGGATTCCCCATTCCCCAGGCACATCCTGGCGGGGGGGGGCTGGGAAGGCCTGCTCACCCACCTCCCAGCCCAAGCCACGGTGGCCGACTGCTGCAACGGTGGCCGCCTGCTGCCCTGTCCCCAAGGAAGAGGAGGGTGGGTGAGATTTATTTTCTCGTTCACTTCTCCATTTCACAGAAATATCATATTTGCTAGACAAAAGTGTTAATTATACCAGAGGCACCATCAAATGGCATTAAGTGATAACTAGATACTCAGGAGGTTGACATGTATATTGTTTCAAGCAGCTCCATGATTTATTAACTAATTTAGATAAACGGCAAATAGTGATATCATAATAGCCCCCTTTTATTCTGGTTTACGCCTCATTGTCTCTGAGTAGAGGAGAGAAATGAATCATCCGACAGGCTCCATGGAAGAATGGGAGGAGCACAGGCTGCAGAGTCAGACCCGAGGGGCTTCTGATCCCCGCTCTGCTGCTGACCAAGGGCCAACACTGTGACCTCTGGGGTCTTCTCAGACCTTCTTCAGGCCTCAGGGTGGAGGCTGGAGTGAGACAAAGCACTTGGCACTGTGTCTGGCATAGAGGCTGTGCCCCCCTCACCCCCCACGCTGTGTTCGTTGTTATTAAGTCTTGAGTCAAGAGCAGAGGATGACTCTGGATGTCTGCTCTCAGGGGTGAGGCTGGGCTGGAAGAGGGTAATGTGTCCACACCAGCCTCTGGGGAGTCCCCCTGTGGGGGGGGGGATGAGGCCAGGGTTTGTGAAAACGCCGTACCTTGAGGGCTGGGGGGCTGCCATCATGTGGCTGAGCGGGCATTTCTCTAGGGCCCCGGCCGCCGCAGTGTTTACTTACATGAATGAAAGAGGAAAAGGGCTTTCAGGCCGCGTGTTTTACCCCAAGTCACTGTCTTCCTCTGAGTGTAGCTAGGTGCATGCTGGGAGAGGCCTCCCAGACAGGACAGTACCGCGCATCGCCGTTAATGACAGCCGGCCGCACCGCCGACAGGGGTGAGAAGCGTGCAGTCCAGGCCAGTGGGACAGACGGTGCGGGGCAGCCGTGCTTCCCGAGGGGCGACCCAGAACCTCACCCACACAGCTGCCGTGGGGAACGAAACGCCGTGTCCCCACCCACACACAGTACCTCAGAAACGGGTCTTCACCCAAACGCTACAGACTCCACAAAAGATAAATGCCCAAAGTTAAAGATCACATCAGCACGAGAGGAAAATTCCATTTTCTGAGAGTTACCAAACGTCAGCCTAAGAGCCAGCTGCCACCCCAGCCCACGGGGCCCTGGAAGTCTGCACACGTGACGAGAGTAGCAGAGGAAACTTGGGGCTGCCCCGCCTCTGGCGTTGCCAAGAATGAGGTCTCCCACGCAGTGTTGCAAGTCTCTGGGGTGGCCCTGTCCAGGACTGGTACCTTTTCATCTCCACTCCCTGTGGGAAGCTTGCTTTTCTAAGTTATATTCTTGGAAACAGTGTCTCAGGCTGCGGTGACACCAGATTCTGTACGCGCCGGGCTGTGAACATGAAAGCCTCCGGGGGCGACAGCCTCTGCGGCGGGTGGTCCAGGGGCACCCCTCCCCGAGGGACTCTGACTTGTCCCTGCAACCCTGCCACCACGGGTTCCCTGCCAGGCCCTCCTTCTGCCCCACCCCCTGCACCATCACCCTTGCATTTGCTGAGCTGCGGCCACGGGGACTCGAGGAGAGGACACAGAAACCGGGCAAGGCGTTGTGACGCCGCCCGCCGGCCTGGTCACGCCGCAGCCCCCCCGGGAGGGCCGGTGCTCCCTGCTGATGAGGTGCATCGGGCAGCTCTTCTCAAGAACTTGGAAACTTCTGGCTCCTTTGTCACCCCTCTAGGCACAGGCACTCAGTAAGGGCTGCCACGAGAGAATGGGGACCTTCTCTCCTCTGTTATAGGAAGACGGGATGGGGTATTATTCTTCAGGGTATAATGCCCAGCCCTGGTTTTGAAAGGAGCAGTGGTAAATTATCACCCAAGCAATCAAGTATGAGCAAGTCCATTCACTTCAAACTTTTGTTTCCTGTGAAGAATTAGGCTAGGAAAGAAATTAATCACACCAAATCCAGTTCCCAAATGGTCACAGATCCCATGATTATGAATAATGATTAGAAGAAAAGAATAAAAATCCCTGGATGTTGAAAACTCATGTTTGGTCTTAACCGATTAACACCAGCCTTCCTGACAACAAGAAGTACCTTTCCTCCAGGCCAGTGGCTCTGTCTTCGTGTTTTCAGGCGGGAGCGAAGACGGAGGTGGTGGCAAGGCCAGGACACTTTCCTTTCTTGGGAGGTCAGTTCCAGCCCGCAGCCAATTTGTATCGGCGTCTCCTCTGAGCTAGGTGCTGTCTGGGAGTCACAGATCCAAAGTGAACAAGCGGACGTAACCCCTGCCTTCATGAGGCTGTGCCTTCTCCTGGAAGCAGAAAGACAAGACAGAAATGCAAACTGTGTTAGGTGGTGACGCTTCAGAAAGAAAAATGGAACAGGTTAAGGGGAGAGGGTATTGGAAGGGGGTATGGATCTGTATAGGGTGATACAGACTCTTCCAAGGAGGTGACATTTGAGTAGCGACCTGAATAAAGTAAAAAAGTGAGCCATGTGGGCAGTCGAGGGCAAAGCCAAGGCCCTGGGGTGGGAGGCGCTTGGCGTGCTGCACCCTGATACAGAGGCTACAGACCTACTCTCCAGCCTCAACAGGTAGGACTAGCTCATCATCACGGCTGGACAAAGTCTCCTCCCCAGAAAATCGGCAGAGTTTGTCTGTCCCGATGAGTCGTTTTTGCCCTTCTCAGCATCTTCCCGGAAGGCTCTTAATTCAGCACACCCTGACTTCCCAGGGGAACTGCATTCCAGCTGGGGGTGGCATTCCCAGCGGGGACACCAGCACCCAGTCAGGAAAGGCTCTGAGAAGCCAGTGCCTTAATCACTCAGTCACAGCCCCTACGGTGTTGGGGAACAGTCAGACCATTGCAAGTACGCCCCACACCTTCCACCACCAGTGTCCACCGACCCCGTGTGGGCCCTGCCCTGCAGCTGGTGCCCAGATGACCCGCCTGACTGAATCATGATTCCAGCCCAAAGCTTGTCCTCCGATTGTGACAGGTGTGCATGCCAGAACCATCTCAGCTCCTGGACATGGCTCCCATACGTGACTTTTGTTCTCTGGATCCGAGGAAGGTCACTAGCCAGCCCTGGGCTCGGTGCAGGGGCACTGGAGCCTGCAGGGAGTAGTACAAGGCAGGCTCCTACAGCCAAGGGAGGCTGAGGCGGGAAGGCATCTCTGGAGTGTTGTTGGCTCCTCGTGGCCGCAGTGAGTCTGCAGAGAAGTGTCTGGTGTGGGCCTGGGGTCGTCGATGGTCAGCTGGATGGGCCGTGAGAAGGAAACCAAGACAGCAATTTTGATCCAGTTCAAAAGTAACGGGTCAATCACAATCACCCAATAATATGATTATTACTTGGCCTACGAGACTCCCAAACCGCCAACCAGAAGAGAAAGTCCTTCCCACTCAGAGCTGGTCACATACATGAGCGCGGTACAGAAAGGGCAGCAAGGCCAGTCCCAAGTCTCCCAGGCTCAGCCCGAACAGAGCAGAGTTCGAGGGATCCGAGCACCTTTGCCAGGGTTTGGAGGGTGAGCCATGGCGGGGGCGCGGCTGCAGGGGCGCCCCCGGTCTGTGCCCTCAACGCAGGAGCACGTGCACCCACACAGTGTGGTGCTGGAGAAGTTCTTCTCTCCCACTGATTTATTTTAAACTGTTAGAAAGTGCAGGTCGATTTTTGTCTGAGTCTAATCCAACGGCCACTGTTGTCTAACTCCTCAGACCAGCGCCTGTATCTTGATAAATTTTACTCAGAGCCACCATATTAAATTAGGAGCTGATTATGTCTGATTTACTGTGTAACAGGGTTCGGGCCATTTCCTGAGATGCAGCAGAAGGGCCTGATGGTCACCGAGCTGGCCCATAATTACCTCTTAAATTTAGAGCCCAAATGGGTCATGCCAACAAGGTACCCCGACTAAAGGGGACACCCCAGCAGAACTACCCAGGACTCGGTAACAAGCACCATGGCTGCCGCCACCGCTACAGAGCCTTTGGACCGCAGCACCCCTGACACATGTGTCTGAGGGTGGTGGCCCTTTGCAGCAGCCACTTGCTAAAGGCAGGAAGTAGGACCTGGAGGCCCTGTGGCAGAGTGGGTTGAGAAGAGCTCTAGTTTCAGAGTCAGATGGACCTGAGTTCAAAGCCCAGCTCCTCTGCTGGGAACTCGGGCTACAGGCTTGACCTCTCTGGGCCTCGGCTGCCTCCTCCGCAGAATGGTGGAGACAAGAGCAGACACACCGCCGTGGTGCAGAGCAGGGAGGTGTGATGACAGCAGGAGCTTGGCCTTAGCTCCGTGGAGCAGGGGCTTCAGAGTACGCGGACATCAGCGATGCAGCAGCCCGTAACGAGGCGCCGCACTCGGAACGTGGTCACTATGGAAGCGATGCTGAGGGTGGTTACCAGGCAGGGCAGTCCACGCGAGAACCAACCGACTGGGCTCCAAGTTCTCCCAGGGGCACAGGGGCCACCGCCAGCCCCCATGCTGCAGTCCGTCCGCTGCTTCTGGGGGAGCCCGGACCAGGAGGGTCTTTTCATGTCAGTGTCCCCACAGTGGGATGGATGACGCCTGTCCCCTCTGGACCCCTGGCCCTGCTAGAAGGGGTCCCCTCCAGTCCCACCTCCCTCCATCCCCGGTAGCAGTTGCATGGGCAGGGGGAGGGGAGGACACCAGTGTTGTGCTTTTACATCCAAAGCCTACGGGACCAGGGACTGACATCCACACGTGAAGCAAGGCCGTGACCAGATGTGCCACGGGGCAGCGGCCCCCTCCTGCCTCACCCCTGCACCTCCAGCCAAAACCCAGAGTAGGAGGAGCCCTGGCAGTCACAGAGGCCAGAAGTCCCATCTGAGGAGAGCAGGGCCTCAGACTCCAGCCTGGCCAGGCCGGACTTTGAATCCCAAAGTGACCTCCTCCCACCCCCACCCAGAGGGACAGTTTATTCCTTCACTGTGTGAATGAGCGTCCCTCTGGGGAGACGGAGGGGGGGCTCTGCTCTCTTTGTTCAGAGCCAACAACTACAGGCTCGGTGTTTAAAAACACGTTTGAACCAACAGCAGGACTGTTTATCAATATTTAAAAACAGAAATGTAATTAGAGGTTGGCACAGCCCCAGAGCTCCTGACCACGAATGTCAAAGGCTTCCTTGACCCGGTGCCGGGAACAGAATGAAAAGCGACCGCAGACGCGGCCCGCCCGCCGCGGTGTGCTGGGCCGCAGATCCCACTTGACAGGCGCTCCCCGTCGAGGCTCAGAAAAGGCTCTGTGGCCGAGGGAACAGCATTTCACATGTGCCCACAGTTTTTCATTCCTCGGTGGTTTTTCTTTCTAAACTTGGTAATGTGGACATTCTATTTTAAGAATAGTCATTACTGTCCAATTTGAATGTAACTGATGTGAACAGAAAACCCCAACCTTGAACAGAGGGAAGGAAACGCAAGTGATTTATGGGGTAATTCTGTGTTTGCAACCCTTGAGACTGCCCAAGAACGTGTGTCTGATGCATTTATTTCTGGTCGGGAGAAGTGAATACCCAGCTTTCTGGAGAACGAGCTGGTGGCTGGCCACATCTGCCTTAGAGAGGCCGGCTCAGGCCACCTCAGGCCACCGCAGGCCAGGTTCCCTCCTCGGGTCTCAAAGAGGCAGTGTCAGGACAGTAAAAATAGTGAGAGACGCGGCAGCAGCTTCGAGACACAGCCCTCTCATCGCACAGACCGCCACGTACGGCCCTCTTTGCCCAACTATTCGGAATGAAAGAGAAAAAAAGGAAGATTATCTGAGAACTAAATAAAAACAGTGCTATATTTTAGCCACCTTTTCTGCGTCCTTCCACCTTCTCCCAAGTGCTCCTTTTGGCTCCTCTTTCCTCACCAAGCCAAAAATGGAACGAGCCCGAAGGTTCTGTCCCTGACCCCCTTTCTCCTCTGCCTGCTCTCCTTGAGAACAGGCACCCACAGCTGTGGCTTCACCCCGGGCCCACGCAGCACAGCTGGCACGCCACAGGCACCTGCCCACCTCCATCCCCTTAGGAGGCCCCCAACACCCCAGAATCAGACTCGGCATCTCCCTCAGAGGGGTGGCATTTGGGACATCTTCCTCTTCCCCGTCGTCATTCCAAATAGCCTTGTCTGTACACCCACTGGTCACACCAGTCCCAGCCCCTCCGAGCTCACCTCTGAGGCAGGGCGGGGAGCCGTGTGTGCCCTTCAAGGAGGCCCTAACACGAATGCAGGGGGAGATCGGCGATGCTTCCCAGAGGAAGACACTTCTCAGCTGAGACCTGATGGTGAGGAGCAGCCACCAGGCAAGGCGGGTGGTTCCAGCGTGAGGGAACCGTGTCAAGGGGCAGCATGAAGAAAGACCCTCCCTGAGAGAGACCGGAGACCACGGGAAGAACCGGGAGGGCTCTGGAGGTGCAAGCCGGGAGAGTGGGGCCAACAGAGAGTGAGAAGGAGGGGTGGCAGACTCGGAGGTGGGTTTTCTGAGAGCAGTGGAGGTGTTTAAGCTGGGAGGGGGGCGCAGGCTTGTGGGCAGAAAGATCACTCTGGCTTCCGTGTGGAGAATGGATGGTGGGGACAAGGCTTAAGAAGCCAGTGAGAGACAGTGGGGCTCTTCAGAGGATCTCCCCAATGCCCCTGGCACCCCAATAATAGCTCGACCTGGCTCCTGCTGGTTTACACCTTCCAAGCCTCACCAGTTCTCTGTCCAAGCCGACAAGCTGTGGTCCGATTCAGACGCAGGTGCTAAGGACAGACACCCCCTGCGACAGGGGAGGGCAGCAGCAAAGAGGCTGGCTCCCAGCCTTCCCAGAGCCCTGGCTGGTCTTCCTTGCCTGTGGGTGCCTCCTGAGCAGCAAAGCCCCGTGGGAGGGAAACCCCAGGCAGAATGAGCCACGGATAAGTCTTATTCAGAGTCTCTAGCAGTGTGACTCAAGACAAGTCACTTCACCTCCCTGGGCCTTGGTTTCCCTCTCTGAATGTCTCAACAGTGATGCCGAACCTCCCTAAAGGGTTTAGGGGGTTAAATAAGAGGTTATGCATGCGACACTCTTAGTACAGCGGATGCCCCCAAGACGTTGATGAAGATGGTGACATCAGCAAGCTCTGGGACTAACTGCTGCACATGTGTGTCCACACAAGTCTTCTAACCGTTAAGGCTACAATTTGTGAATCTCCCTTTATACAAAGCAGTTTAATTGACATACTAGTTCAAACAGTCGGGAGTGATTTTCTCATAGCACCTGCCTGGTATGTACAAAGGGAATCGAACCTTTTGATGATGGACATCCTGACCAGGCTAGGAATCATTTTATTA